GTCAGTCTTTTCAGTCTTATATATATTTCTGAGCTGCCATTCCTCTTACAAAACCTCTGTCGTATAAGCGTAATTGTGCTCTTCGCTAAGCAGATGTGTCTGAAGTAAGTCATGTGCACTAGGCAGAACAGATTTATTTCGCTGTTGCCCTTGATGACGCTTTGATTGTTCCGGTTCCTGCTGCTGCTGCGCCTCTGTTCCATTTTCACAATTCGTGCTCCCATCATCGTCTGGTATACTTATAAAAGGATCATCTAAATTTATAATCTCCATTATGTCACAATTATTGATGATATCCTGCGCATTCAACATAGGAAAATCACAAAAATCATATTTTTGTTCAACGCTTGTATCCGCTTCGTTCTCTTGCTCACAACCCTCGTCCATACCCATATCCAAATCATCAGACAAAATGCTTTCAAACCCCTCCGCTACCTCTTGCTTGACACGTACCACTGGCTCTTGCTTCACCTTAAGCTGCCTTTCGATGGCGCGTGAGCTATTATTCGCCTTCTCTATCCGATATTTACGTTGCAACTCACTTTGAGTCTCGAGTACTTTGTCGACAAAGCGTGAAAACGTTTCCAAACCTTTGAGGCAAGTGCGACACATTTCTTTTGGCAAGTGATCATCTTTTTGTATGTTGAGTGTGGGAAAACATTTCTGTATCATGCCATAAATCTCGAAATTCGTAGAGAACGATACTACCGACGAGCAGGTACTGCCACACAAGCGACACTTAACTTTCGGTGCGCTCGGCGAGCTTGTCAAAGGAGTGTTTTGTAATCCCTTGAAATTAAAATTAAAATAAGAACGTTTATTAAAGTGATCTATTAGCTTACGTTATGCTCTTCTTCGTCGCAGTCTTCGACGTTGTCCTCAACTGCCTCCGCAACGGGGATATCGTCGCCATCTGTGGTTTTTTCTTTACTTTGCACTAATAGTTTATCCTTGGATGCGTCTTCAGTTGGTGCCGCTTGAAGATTGTCACTATCGGGCGCATGTATATGCTTTAACATACGCAAGCTTGGCACTGCTGCCTTCTTTAAAATATTTCGATCAGCCGAACACTTGAAGTCTTCATCCCGAAAGTGACGACTACAAATAGCACTCCATTTCGAGGGACGCCAATCTGTGCCACGTTCTGCGAAATCTAGCCATTTCTGCAACAATTCCTCGCGTTTGAAGGGAAATCTGGAAAAGAATGGTACTTTTAAGACTGCTGGGGAATCATTCGCGTGAAACACTAACTTATGGAAAGATATATTGTCCGCATGTCCATATTTATCACTACAGTTTTGTACAGCACAAAACGAAGGCGTTTTTATAGGCCTTAAATTATTGGGAAAATTTTAGTAGACGGACACCTTTCTGCGTAGGCGGCCTTCGGCCGCACTTAGGGATAATAACCCTCAGGCAGTAGAATTCTCCTTTCTGTTTTGCGAAGAAAAG